CAGCCCGGCTGGCCGTATGTGTTCCGGCTCCGCGGCGATCGCCGCTGCCCAGGGCATGTTCAGACAGCACGCTGAGACGGACGCCGCGGCCCCTCAGGTGGTCTCCGTGAGCAGGTCACCGATGAAGCGGACGAGATAGCCGAGTCGAGTTCAAGAAGTTCGAGCAGAAAAATGACTGGGCAGCCGGCGTCGGACGCCTAGTAGCCGCTCTGTGTGTGTGCGTGTGCGTGACTAGGTAGATCGACGCGGTTCGAGTGGCGGTATCTGCGATGTTGTCAAGTGAAGCGTGCTCTGTGCGATTGTATGCAGGGCGATGCCAGTCATTTGGTGGCCAGTGTGTTGGACGATCGTAGGAATGAGCCAGGTTGCAGACGAACCTCACCTTCGGCCAGTGACATGGAGCCTCTTCAGGAGGGTGGGGGACGGGAAAGCGCTTTTCAAAGCATCCTAGTCTGGCAGCGTTATAGGACTAGAGCGTTATTCTTATCAAACTTGCGAGGTCAGCTGGCTCGTTAACCCCATCCATGGTCCTGGGGCGCTGCGTCTTCTGCTGAGCCGCGACCGCACGTCCCTCCGGTCGTGTGTCCGAAGTGCCGTGCTCTGAGAGCGCACGTGTGCGCCGCCGTTGTGACTGTTCTGAGGGGTTGTGCGCTGGCGCACAGCGCTGTCCGTGTCGTTGGCCCGGTGCCGACTCTGGAATAACAGGGTCAGACCGGTAGGTGCCGTTGCGGACTGCGGGCTTGTGGGTGCGGATGTTACGCTGCTGGTTCGTTGTGTGTGCCCTCGCTCTGTGCGTGCGCTGCTGGTTCATTGATGTGTGCCCCGCTCTGTGCGGAAGCAAAGGTGATGCTACAGGTAGCTTCAATATAGACTGCCTGCGGTCGGACGTCTTTTAAATTTGGAAGTGCTGAAGCAAAGGATGGCAATGTGATCGGACACGCCCAATTATGCCGTACTATTTTCACGAATATGACTGCGCAGCGTGAAGTGTTCGACAATGATGAAGCGGTAATGCTGCCAGATAGAACTGCAATCGCCTTTCACGGTTTCCATTTGTTATTGATTTTGCGATATGGGACGTCACAGATGGGCGTATTCTCGCAAATAAATTGCGGGAGGCTGAACTGTGAAAGGATGCCATCTGTCCCCAACATACGCCAGCAACATGGTTTCTTATCGGGTTGGCACACTTTTTCCTCACTGCTGGGGAACGGGGCTGCAGCTCAAATTGGAGGACGACCCCCCCCCCCCCCCCAACTGAATAGAAAACCACGCCTGACGTCACATGCAACAAGCGGACGCCACGTGGGACATATAAACACCCTATAAGTTGTATTATTTGGAACAGCTCACTGACATGGAACGGACCTTTGTTTCGGCGTCGGCCATCAGCTAGAGTTTTCGCTACTGACCCTACGACGGGCTAGGGCGATGCGATGCCTGGATGATGGGCGGACACGCTACACCCGGCCCTGCCGTCGTGTGCGGCTCCAAAGCACCGCTGTTTACAGCACCGCTGGTGGCACCAGCGCCGCCGCCTGCACCACAGGCAGTGATACAGCAGGCGCCGCCAGTGGTACTGAGTACGCCCCCCCCCCCCCCCCCCCTCTCCCCCTGCCGCGCTCGTCCGGTGCTGACCGCCCCCTGTGAGGCGGAGGCTGCACTGCCCGCTCTCGTTTTCTGGAAAAACCACCCGCCGGTTGTCGGTCAAAAACTGGCAAAACGGTTTCGGATGAGGGTAGGATGTGTGTCCCAAGCTGATTATGTAACGCGCCGTCAGCTGAACTCAAGGCGTTGGACAGGGCCAGCCGGCAGTTTGCATTGTGGTCAGATCGTTTGCCGATGGGTTCGGTGAGGGAAGGGATCACAGGAAGGAATCAAGACGGGGGACTTCCCCAGAACCTGAGAAGTCATCGACGCGCTGATCGCGCCGTCAGCCCCCCCCCCCCCCCCTCTCCTCTCTCTCCTCTCTCTCTCTCTCTCCTCTCTCTCTTCTCTCTCCCTCTCTCTCTCTCTCTCTCTCTCTCTCTCTCTCCTCTCCTCTCTCATCTCTCATCTCTCTCTCTCTCCATCGCCATCGTGCGGAGGAACATGGGAGCGGTCGATGGTCGGCCGAGGTATCCCTCATTTCAGCCCGAGGAACATATGGAGCGGTCGGGGTTCGGCCTAGGTGTCCCCTCATCCCAGCCTGGGGAACATGTGGAAAGGTAGGGATTCGGCCTAGGTGTCCCCTCATCTCAGCCTGGGGAACATGGAACGGTCGGGGTTCGCCTAGGTTGTCCCCATCTCTCCTGAGGAACACGGGAGTGTCGTGTTTCGGCCTAGGTGTTCCCTCATCTCAGCCTGAGGGACATGAGAGTGGTCGGAGTTGGCCGCGTGATATTTCATCTCAGCATCACTCGGTTGGTGCGTATGTGCATGTTCATGGTCTGGTATGCATGAGTCGGGCGCCGAGGTTGAGGCTATTTTTCGCCGTGTTATTGCCTATGCCTTTTCAATTATTAACGGGAGAACATGAACAATCATTGATCAGGCCGAGGCGGACAAGCACAGCTTTGGTGGACTGGCACGGCTTCGGTGGACTGGCACGGCTTTGGTGGACTGGCGCGGCTTTGGTGGACTGGCATGGCTTTGGTGGACTGGCACGGCTTTGGTGGACTGGCACGGCCACTGCTGACCGTCGGTTCTGGAGCGGCTCTGGATCTCAGTCCGTGGCCCATCGACATCTGGTGGTAACATCTGACAGACCTCGGCCTGTTGTCCGGTGACACCTGACAGACCTCGGCCTGTAGTCCGGTGACACCTGACAGACCTCGGCCTGTAGTCCGGTGACATCTGACAGACCTCGGCCTGTTGTCCGGTGACATCTGACAGACCTCGGCCTGTTGTCCGGTGACATCTGACAGACCTCGGCCTGTAGTCCGGTGACATCTGACAGACCTCGGCCTGTAGTCCGGTGACATCTGACAGACCTCGGCCTGTAGTCCGGTGACATCTGACAGACCTCGGCCTGTAGTCCGGTGACATCTGACAGACCTCGGCCTGTAGTCCGGTGACATCTGACAGACCTCGGCCTGTAGTCCGTGACATCTGACAGACCTCGGCCTGTAGTCCGGTGACATCTGACAGACCTCGGCCTGTGTCCGGTGACACTGACAGACCTCGGCCTGTGTCGGGACATCTGACAGACCTCGGCCTGTTGTCCGGTGACATCTGACAGACCTCGGCCTGTTGTCCAGTGACACCTGACAGACCTCGGCCTGTAGTCCGGTGACATCTGACAGACCTCGGCCTGTAGTCCGGTGACATCTGACAGACCTCGGCCTGTAGTCCGGTGACATCTGACAGACCTCGGCCTGTAGTCCGGTGACACCTGACAGACCTCGGCCTGTTGTCCGGTGACATCTGACAGACCTCGGCCTGTTGTCCGGTGACATCTGACAGACCTCGGCCTGTTGTCCAGTGACACCTGACAGACCTCGGCCTGTAGTCCGGTGACACCTGACAGACCTCGGCCTGTAGTCCGGTGACATCTGACAACGACATTTGACGGTGACATCTCACGGTGACATCTGGCAGACCTCGTCCTGTGGTCCGGTGACATCTGACAGCGACATCTGACGGTGACATCTGACGGTGACATCTGGCAGAGCTGCACACGGCCCTGGCATGTGAGTCTGTGCACACTTATTTCATGCTAGATGTGTCAATTAGATTCAAAATTTTCAAATTCAGGAAATTCTCGAAGTCTAAGGTAAAAATTGGAAGGACAGGGGAGAAACATGCTATATTTTTTACTTCCAGCATCATTCTGTCGTCCCGCAAATTATCATTCATCTTAACGTATGTAAAGCAGACACACAATGTCTACCCACGATCATCTTCTTTCTTCGATTCGACTGTGAGAATGGAGTTATGCGAGTAGTGACTGGGCTTATTAAATGTAGATAACAGTTATCTGATACTAAAATTACATTTTTTCGAAATCATCATC